GAGTGACCAGCGGGGGGATGGAGGGGAGTGGTGGCAGCAGAAGGCAAATGGCTCTGGCAAGCAGGGAGAAGTGGCAGCGAATGGGCGCACAGAGTCTAGTGACAGCTAGGTGGGAGTGCGGGGCCCACGCAGTGCGCCAGGGCCAGCACCAGCAGCACCCAGAATGGGACAGCAGGGCTCTATGGAGCCAGGCCAGGGTGTGCCAGCTGGAAGAGGGGGAAGCTGGCCCAGCTCCGTCAAGCCCTGCCAGCCTGGCCCCATGCTCCTGCCACCCCACTGTGGCCCCCTGCTGGCCCTAGCCCCAGCATACCAGCATGGACCCAATGCTACCACCTGGCTGTCACTGAGCTCTGCGCGCCCACTCACTGCCCCTTCCCCCTGCAAGCCATTTTGGCACCACGTGGCTCCCAGCTGCAGCACCGGGACCGCAGCAGCTGGCTCAGCCCAGCCGTGAGGACTGGGGTAATTGCTTGCAGTCCTCCCCTGCCTCCCCCATCTCCCCTTCTTATCTGAATTTCCTTCCTGCACAGGGAGTCAGGACAGTCCCAGGATCCAAGGCCAGAAGCCTCTACTCCACACAGGACTTCTAGCTAGAGGTGAAGGGGGCAAGGCCGCTAGGCCTTGCTTCTGCAGCCCCTTGATCCTGCCAGCGGTTTCCCCTGAGTCCTACTGCCCGTGGCTTCTGTCAACTTGACATGCAGCCAGAGGCAGATATATTCATTTTCTAAAATTTTTAGGGGCTCTCCAGGCCAGATAGAATGGCCTGGTGGGCCAGATTTGGCCCGTGGGCCATATCTTGCCTGCTCCTGCTTTATCTCCTTTCTATGTATGGGACCTCTGTTGCATTTCTGATTTCTGTGCTAAAAAAAATATCAGTTCTGCTCATTGATCTGGCTAGCACCCAGATTTCTACATGAAACACACAGACTGCATGTATGTGCCCAAGTACTGGGGTACACAAGGTGGCGATCTGATTCAAATTGCTATTTTGATGCAAAAGTCACATTGCATTGGAAGGACATGCCTCTTTCATTTTATTTTATTTCTCTGGATTTATAAACACGAAGAACAAAACTGAGAAGCATGCAGATCACTAGTGATTGTCATGTATAGTCCTACTGACTCTATAGGTTTGAGTAAGGGATTTTCAATCTGGCTCTAAAAAGCATACGTGTTCTCAGTGCCCATGGCATACCAGTAACTTTAAAATATGCAGATCAAGAAAAAGCAGCAGCATAAATGAACTGAAGAGACACCTGACATTATGAACCTTAGTGAGCAGGCCAAGCAAATTAAAAGCTAAAATTACTTTTCCAACACAAGTCTTGGCAGTCTCCCTAGTTTTCAGCCATCTGTTGCAGGAGAAGATATGCTTATCAGCGTGTACTGAAGGTCAGGAGATTCAGGCTATTTAAGAATAAAGTGAGAAGCTAATCCCAAAGCTGCAGTGGCCTCCACAGGGAATGGCTTTCCATCAGCCTATCTTCATGTTCATGATACAAAGTGAACAGAAATCTTTTCTGTAATGTCAATGGACTTTGGATCAAGTTCTGTATATAAACAGAGCTCCAGCATAACTATTTCTACTGACCTCAAATGTGTCGGTACAGTATAGAGAAAGATTTTATGGTCTTTCTTTGTTATGATTTCTTCTACTAGCTTTCCCTTGAGTGCTACAGAAGTTTATGGCCATTTTACAGATGGGTAAACTGATCTGTTGAGAAAGTCATGATCACATAGGGATGCCAGACCCAGAATGGAATCCAGGAAAGAGAGATTCCTTCTCCACTGTTGCACACACTTTCCTACATTTTATTACTGCTATACTGTGATCACAGACCAACCAGGCCTACAGCATATGCCTACTCTCTTGCAATACCTGCAGTCTGATTTATCCGCAATGTCACTGAGTGCTTTAACTTTCATAGGAGATTATTGTTGTAGAAATATGGCTTGCATATGTTCATGCTGGAAAGCTGTTTTTCTTCACATCAGGGGCTCTTGTTTTTTTTGAGTGTGTGAATCAAGAAGACTAAGTACAGTTCAGGTTCCAAATATCCTGAAAATGTGCCTATTTGGCCTGCAGGGGAAAATCTCTAGCTGCTGATTCTGAAGTCAATGGACTTACACCACTGATGCACTGGGCTCACAGCAGGCAACATCCCTGTGCACATTTGAGTCTGAAGCAGAGCAAAAGGAGAAAATCCTTTTCCAGATAGTTCTTTCTATGAAGCACTTTCTGATGCAATCGGCCCTGCTGTACCCACTGCCCTTCCAAGCTTGCCTTTCCCACTCTCTCTCCTCTCACTCTCTTATTCATCCATTTGGGGTTGGCTTTTGTTGTTGTTCTTTGCCCCTTCCAGATATCAGGCATCAGTAAATGTAGGATTAAGTTACTTTATGCAGTGCCTACCCCCCTCGTGCTGGCAGGGGTGTTTTCACAAGCCTAGCTAGCTTCTTGCTGCTGCAACAAATGCGTGGAGGAGAAAGTGCTGCTGCATAGGAACATGATCTCAATAAATTTCATAGAGGAGAGAGCATGCAAACTGCCAGTGTTTTCCCCTCACGGGCAGCCATTGCATACAGTGCTTTTAACCCTCAAAGTCATTTTATAGCTGTGTTGATGTTTCATCTCTATTACCCCTAAAGGGTCCTTTTATTCTTTAAAAAAAAAAAATCAGAGAGAGAGGGATTCTGGATCTGATGCAGGGATTCTGGATCCAGTGCTGGGATCAACTGGCCAGTCAAATCCCATTTCCAGTCAATTCCCATTTTGCCACAGGTTTCTGATACAAAAAGCAGGTGCAAAATAGTGTGATTAAGTTCTCTGACATTTGTGCTGACTCCATAACACGTTCACCCTGGAGTGCACTCACACATCTGTTAGACGCTTGTGGCACATACTTTCCTAAACCGACGCAGAAGCCTTTCTGTGAACTGAGCTGCAGTGGGAACTGCACATTTGGAGTTGGACCACTAATTGCAATGTCAATCCCCAAGTAGCAGGGCTGGGCTGTAGGCACATGCTGGGATGAAGGAAGTGGGGAGAAGGTAGATATTTTCTGTTCTTTGGCCCAGAGAATCACTCTGTGGAGACCTTTGGCTGTTGTAGTGACTGTATGCTTTAGTCAGCTCTGTGCAGACAGAAGACAGGGTGATCCAGGCCCTGGCAGAGCTTATCCTGCTAGCTGTACTTCACCCTTTTCTGGGCCTTCTCTGCACCCCATTCCCACCCACACCTAATATACTATTGCTAGATGGAATTCCCTGATTTTGTTATCAAAAGCCTAACTATTAGGGTCTTCACCCTTGGTTGCAGCAGCAGGAGGGTGGCAGCAGGGGTCAGGCTAGCTGCAGCAGTGCTGCCATTCATATGCCCCATTCAAGGGGGCTCCTGGGTCTGGTTTTCTGGTTGCCCACCCCTCATTATACTACTGCTCACCATGACCGCAACACATACCTGAGCACTGTTCTGTCTGGGTCCACAGTAGTAGAGAGATGGATAAAGAATATAAAACATCTCATTTGTACCAAGTTTTCCAGATGGCACTTTAGCAGCATGCAGTACAAGAGGTAGGAGGTAGCTTCTACTAGCATTGCATCTTTCATTATTTCCTTCTCCTTTGGGGCTAGGGACAGACATTCAAAAATCCTGAGCCTGAATTGATTCAACCTTTGCAGATTAGTCTCACCTGGCTAGGCTGAACCGGTTTGTAACCACACAGACATTCCCTCTGGACTAAGCAAATGCAGGCACATGTCAGAAGCTAGGGGGCAATAGAGCAGCCCTCCCTTCCCTTTCATAGTGTTGAGCTGAAGTGGGGCATGGCCAGGCCCTGGCAGGACACTCTGATTAGGGAGGGGTTCTCCTCCCTCTTGCTGCTCCTGACCAGGGAAGGAGCCAGCAGGGAGTTGCACAACACTTAGTTACACAGCAGGGAGTCACACAGGAAGTAACACAGCATTTAACACCCCATCAACAAAACAAACGCCTCTCTCTTTAGTTCAAGCTCTTCATAAACAGCTTTTTCCAAGGAAGGAAAGGAGGGATGTTACCAGCCTGTCAATTAGCTCCAAAAAGCCCTAAGCAGACACTGTCCTGTCTGTCTGCCTGTGTCCTGTCTGCCTTACACAGACACCTCTCAGTGTTCGCTAGCATACCGTATGCTGGCTAGTCCGTGCAGTGGGAGGGGGGAGGGGGAATCCCTGCTTGAGCAGGGAGTGGGAGGGAGGAGCAGGGGGAAGCCAAACAGAGGGGCACAGCCAGCCTGGCTCTGCAGCAGACAGCTCCACCCAGGGCTGCAAAGCATCTGGGATGCTGGGGGACTCTGGTTTAAGTTAAGCCGGGAAGGGGGCTGGGACAGACATTGCAGAAACCGGTTTAAGCCAAATCAGTTAAGTCGAATGCTACATTCAACCAAGTTTATCTCAAACCAGTTTCAGCCATTTTCAAACTGGTTTATGTGCACTGAACATCTGTTCTGTTACAGATTTAAACTAGTTTCTGATCGCTTAAACCAGTTTATGTGTAATGTCTGTCCCAAGCCTATGGGATCGCAAGGCATGTGAGAAAACAGAACTGAAAGTACAAAGCAAGTGTTTTCATTGGATTATATGCTCATATACAAATCACACTCAAAGCTGTTGTCTCTTATTCTTTGTTATTCCCCTCTTTCATTATTTTCTCCTGTTCTTTATTGTCAGTACTTCTTTAGAAGCATTTTTCTTTACTTCATATATTTGGTCTTTGTCTCTCTTTCCTTCTGTTCTTTCTCTGAAACTTGTCTATTTAATATTTCTTTCCCACTGCTTTTTGATGTTAGTTCCTTTGTTTTAACTTACCCATCCTACTTTGCTACTTTCTGGTTTCCGCGTGTAGTTTTTTAATTGATTATTGACTTTATTATTTGTAGCACGGTAGCCACCAGGACCATCTTGCATTAGTAACAAAGCAGATTTAAAACAAAAATATGCATTTCCACTGCATTTTTTTATACTACCTGATTTATTTACTAGCCTGTTTCTCTTTGCTGGTTGAGATGCGCCCTGGTGGACTCAAATCAACTAGTTGATCTACATTACAGGAAGTTCACAGAAGCTTTCAAAATCTTTGCTTTCATCAGGGCTTCATCAGGTAAGATGATCTAAACAGTTGTGGAAAGTATGAAGCATCTTCAAATCCCAAAGTCTGTAACACAAATGAGGATTTCTACTACTCCTACACTTACGCTTACCATGTTGCAATATCAAGCTGTAAAGGCAAAAATGCATTATTAGTTTTGGGTGATAGATTCAGCAAGCTGGATCAGGCCTTCATTGGCTTCTGCAGACTTGACTACTCAGTACAAATGTCAAATCTACAGGAGCCATTTTTTCCTGCATCAAGATGCAGCGTGTGTTGATGCACAGAGAGGAAACTTCTGTAAATAAATGACCCTTCATAGATCAGCCTGTACCTGGTCTAATGGATCACTGGTAGGCCTTGAATTTTCTTAGCCATGGGTTTCACCCCTGCTTAAGAATTCATGGCTGATAGAAGGATCAAAATAGAAAAAAAAACCAAACACATCCATCCCTCAGGGGCTTTCATCTTTTTCAGGCCTTCTCCAACTGCTGTTGAGTTTTCGTTTCTTAGCTTGTTTAAAAATATTGAATCTTTGAGCTTTAGGGGGTTTTTTTCACAATATTCCCTGGCCATGTTTCAGTTAGGGAAGACTTATATAAACAACACAAAGCAAATGTTTGCCATTACTTTCCAATCAACATGAGGGGAAATGGAGCAAATATTTGGTGTACAGAACTTGCCTTCTGGAGAGATGCCTACGTGACCTTATGCAGTGCTGTGCCAGTAGACCTAATTGAGGTCTAAGGCTAGGTACAGGCATTACACTTTTACTGATATAAGTGTTCATAAACTGGTCTATACCCATAGCAGAACATAATTTTGGCATACATTGACTGGTTTAAAAATGGCAGAACTTGGTTTAAGAGTTGCCTGCCCCTTCCACCCCTCATCTAAGGGTGAACGTGTGTTCTGTTCACTACTGATCAAAGTTACGCCATTTACAGAAAGCCACATAACTTAGATTGATTCCACCTCAGGCTTTTTGAATGTCTGTACCTAGTTTAAATGATCTGGGTCAAGTACTGGGAACATGGTTTGCTGTGCAGGGCTAATTGGCCTGACCAGGACATTATGCTAATGCAGCTATTTTATGCCATGTCCTTTTGACTCCAAATGTGCCTCTCATGCAACTGTCACATCACCCCACTGGAAACTGCCTAAAAAGGCTCAGCAGTTTCAACCACTACCACTGGCCCATGGCATTATGGCTGAGCAGAAGCAAAGGCTCCAAAAGGACCCCAAAAGAGATATGTCTGCACTCCTCCTGTAGACACACCCAATAGTATCAGACTCTTTCAATACCAATGTTAATAATGCAATTGCAACCCAGACTGCAGACACCAAGGAAGGACTTACACAAGGCTGGGCTGCCACAGCTAGACTGCTGCAAAATTTGAGTTTGTTATTGTGTTCAGCCACCCTTTGGGTATGCAGGTTATGACTAAACTGTCATATAAAAAAATTGGCATTGCTCTTTGTGGTTGAAAAGAATTCTGAACATTTAACAAAAAGGAGGAAAGAGAGAGAAGCAGGGAATTATAAAAGCCAACCTGCCGAACATTATTTAGCACTGACACATGCTTCTCAGATGAGCAGACATCCGCATGCCATGTACTCTGTATCTGTAAATAAATCAGTGGTTAGGAGATAATACAACTTTAAAGAGAGGTAGTTGGCTGCATGAGTCTGACATCAGGAAGAAAGCTATTCTAGATTTGCACCTGGTGAACTAACTAAATCAAGAGCTACATAAGCTTTCATAAGCAGCAGCTTACTTTATTGGATGCAGAGAAGGGACTACAGATGAGGCAGCACAGGTCCTGAGCTTTACAGATCATCAGAACGTGTTGCTGCACTCTGCAAAGTGCTTCTTCTAGCAGCTCTTTACATCAGGCCTGAAAAGTGAGTGGGAAAAGTGCAATGGGATGTGAAAAACTTTTCTTCTGAAGTGCCCTGCTCTCCAGACCAATGGAATGCCAATTTCTGTCAGCCCTCACACATGAGTGCAATGAAAGGAAAGAGAGATGCTTACCTTACCCTGTCGCATGGTCTGTGCAAGAGCCATGCAGAATTCTGCTCACTACACTGCTTGCCTACAGGTAAAGGCCCAGCCACTTAGTTGGGAGTATAGTGAAGTCCAAAGCACTGTGTGCACTTCCCCTATGGAGCATGGAAGCCTGGGTACATTGCCTCAGGAGGAGGGGGCAACTTTACACTATTTACTGCAAGCTGAGTGCAAATTGCTCAGTCTATGCCAGAGGTAGCCAACCTGCAGCACATGTGTTATAAGGGGCAAAGGAAGCCATTTTGTGGAACGTGGCAAACTGGGCAGGAGACAGGCAGCACACTGGCACATAAGATAGGATGCAGAAAGCAGAGCTGCGGATGGGCAGGGAGCAGAAAGCAGAGCAGCCAATCTAGTAGGAGAGGAGGGTTAGACTGGCACTTCGGTGCTAGGGACAGACATTCAAAAAGCCTGAGCCTGAATTGATTCAATCTTTGTAGGTTAGTCTAACCTGCAAAACTTGAATTGATCTGGAGGTGGATAGACATTCCCTTTTCATTCCAGAAATGCAGGCACATGCCTACAGTGGCTCAGGCTAGAAGCCGGGGACTGCTACAGCAGCCCTCCCTTCCCTTCCATGTTGCTGAGCTGAGGGGGATGTGGCCAAGCCTCGGCAGGACACTCTGATTAGGGAGGGGTCTAACCCCCCGCACCCTGCCTACACTGTCTCATTCTTTTCCCCGCTGACTGCTCAAGGGGCAGGAGTGTTGCCAGACCCCAGCCCTGGGCTAGCACTCTGAGGCAAAGCGGGGGTGTACAGTGCATGCATCTGTTGGTGATACTGAAGTTTTCAACCTCCCTATCCATGTCTACAGACCTGTCTGCATACCTGACATGGCTGTAAACCCACCAAGGGGACAATAAAACCACAGTGTTATCAACCCTTTAGCAAAACAAAAGCCTTTCTCATTAGTTCAAGCTCTTCTTAAACAGCTTTTTCCAAGGAAGAAATGGGGGGACATTTCCAGCTGACCTGTTGATTAGCTCCAAAAAGCTCTAAGTGGACACTGGTCTGTCTGCCTGTCCCTGTGAAATTGGAGACACACACATGGACACCTCTTAGCATTAGCTAACACAGCACACATGGGTGACTGGTGCCTCCTGAGTTGGAGGGGCACTTGCTCTCCCAGCAGTCAGTCACCCCCGTGCACCCCCTATGCATTGCCACTGATAGCACATGTCTAGGGTCCATGGGGCTGGGGTCTGTGCTGTGGGAGATAGGAGGGTGGAAGGTGGGGGGACGGGGAATCACTGTTTGAGCAGTATGCAGTGAGGGAAGCTAGGCAGACCCTGCTGTGCCTGCAGTCTCCCCCAGAGCTCTGGCTAGGGAGGAGAGGGGCAGGGACAGCCTGTTTTCTGGAGCAGAAAACAACCTAGCCCAGCCCAGCCCAGCCCAGCCCAGCCCAGCCCAGCAAAGCATCTAGGATGCTGGGGGACTCTGGTTTAACTTAAACCAAGAAGGGGTCTGGGATAGACATTGCATAAACTGGTTTGCTCCAAATCAGTTACGTCTCATACTACATTCAACCAGGTTTATCTTAAACCAGTTTCAATCATTTTGTAACTGGTTTATGTGCACTGATGTTCTGTTACAGGTTTAAACCAGTTTCTGATCACTTAAACCAGTTTATGTGTAATGTCTGTCCCTAGCCAGGGAGGGTATGGGGCTTATTGGTGGCATGCCTGCTAAAAAGGTTGGCCTCCACCGGCCTATGCCATAAAGACAGACAAAGGAAACAAACATACAGCACGTTATTGCAGCCACCGCATAATAAGAAACTTCTTGTGTCCTGGTCGTCATTTTAGTTTTAGCAGAAGTAGTATGAATTCGATTTGTAGTGATAGTGCTCGCACGCCTTACAGTCATGCCTCCAAGATTTCGACTCAGAACTAGGCTGCAACACGCTAGGCACTGATCTAGTTAAGTTTCCTTGAACTGCCTAAATATTTTTAAACATCCAAACACCTGCTGAACTACACTGTATCTGTTTGATATGTTTTCCAGTAAGAAAGAATAGAAATCAGAGAGGATAGCCATATGCAGAACATTAATTCAAAAGATAATGGGAAAAACTTTGCAAGGGGGAAATTCAATTCACCTTAACAACAAGGAAGTTGTTTTTTACAGTGACACCTGAAGCGCCCAATACTCCACTCCTGCAGAATTAACTTCTGCATACAATGGCCATGGTGTTTTGTCAGGAAATAAAGAAAACAACGATTTTTGAGGGACATTGGCCAACAAGTTACTTAGCCTTGTCCCCCAGGAGGATTTGTATCTCATCAGTGATCACAATGCCACTGACTCTCAGTGTTCCTGTTAAAACCAGCAAATCACCATAGTGATAAGGCATCTTAGGGAGGGGGGGAAACAGTTCCTTTTTGTCAAAGGTGACCCACCACATAGTTCTATTTACGCTATAGCTTGCATTACGCCTAGAGGACACAGAACAAAGCACAGCCTGATATTATCTCCTTTGGATTCATAATTTCCATGGAAACCTTTTTTCCTTTCTTTTTTTTTAGTTACCTATGATGAAAAAACCAAAGAGGGGAAAAGCATGCACTTGAATGCACTTTCACTTTGTATTTATAATGTTCCTGTTTGCTGCCCACCCGGCAGCAGTTATATCCTTGTTATACTTTATGGCAAGTATCCAAAAAATGTTTATCTTCCCACAAAAAAAGTGAGCAACTGCTTTCACCACTGACACTAAGTCAGCGCCTGCCAAAGCGGTTAGATAAGGGGCATCTATATAGCCACTGCTTGGATATATCAGAGATCAAGACTTCATTGTGCTAGGCATTGGTCAAAAGCATATTCAGATGCAAACCCTGCCCCAACTTGCTCACAACCTAAGGAGACAGATGGAGAACAGAGGTATGAGAGATTAAATGATGTGTCTAAAATCAGACAGAAAATCTAGGGTGGAGTCAGGAATCTGGTGCTGCAGGCATAAAACCAGTCCCCCCACCACCCTTTATTATGGGCCAGCTTCAGCTATAAAAACCATGCAAATGTCTCATCCTCGGCAAAGCAAATAATGTCTGTTTTTTCAGAGGGGGAAAAAAAGTGTATGAATTTAATGTTATAAAGACACAATGTTCTACATGAATCAACATCCAAGGGAATAGGCACCCTTGGGATCTAGAATGTAGGTAACCCAGGGGAAAAATACTGCGGAGTTGGCTACACTAACAATAAAACAGTTAACCTTTCAAAAATCACATCCCATTCACAGTGAGGTAGAACAATAGGCTCGAGCTCTGCACCTCCTCCCTTTAAAAGTCAATGGCAACACTCCCATTATCTTCAATGAGAGCAGGGTCAGGCCACTAATGGGTACATGTTAACACAGGCTGTAATGGTTTAATTCTAAGATCAAAAGGGAATCTTTTCATACAAAAAAAAAAAGATTGTGCAGGCACGGATTAGAATTCTTGCCTGTAGCTGCCCTGGTTGGGTTACAATGCCGTGAGGATCAGCCGATCAGAACAACACAAAGCGGGAGGCTGCAGGAAGGGCTAGGAGCGAATTCATTAGAACTCACACAGAGCGAATTCATTTGCCCAGGTTTGTTATTATCGCTGAATTATTTGTTTGGAGGGACTTGTGGGAGTTGCACATTTTTGCACTGTTAAAAACAGCGTTTCACTGGCACCTCTCCTTTAGAGTAATAACTGGGGGCGGGGGAGAGTAATTTGTCCTTTGCAAAGAGCTGTGTTCAAAATTCTCTTTTCTATATGGACAATGAACCCTGTTGAGTGGCCTGTCCCTAGAGCAGATCAGAAAACAGAACACAAGCTGTGGGAATTACTTGTTTTTCATTAATGCTTCATTTTGATGAAAGTTTTCCCACCCATTTCTATCTGTCCGTAATAACAGGTCTCCAGCAGGAGTGATTCTGTACCTCCGCGTGGCTCCCATCCAGCAAAGCACTTACACCGATGCTCAGCCGTAAGCGTGCGAGTAGTCCCAGTGAAGCCAGTGTTAAGTACGTGTGTCTTTTCTGGAACCAGAACCCACATATGCACCCTGCGAGCCCAATCTTTGCTCATATGAATATTCACGGTGAACTTCTTTTAGGATTCTTCTATGCTTAAAGTTGAAAATAGGGATTCACATGTGCAGGGGCCAAAGTTCTTATACTAATATTAGCTTTTGTACAGTGCTTTCTTTTAGCAGAGCTCAAAGTGCTTTACCAAAGAGGTTAGTACCAGAGGTTACTACCAAAGTGATTTACTCAAGGCCACTCAACTGACAAGTAGCAGCGCCAGAGCCATGAATAGACTCCAAGCTATATATCCACCCAGCTGCACTGCTGGTTAAAGACCCTCCCACTGGTCCATCCCCCTGCCTCTATTCCAGCTATAGCACTCTTGATACAATATATACATGTATTAAGACAGGACATCTGTTTCATGGTAGTAATAAGATTTTTTTTTTAACTCCCTCAGTGTTTATAACCTGACTGGAAGTTCAGTCAACTATATGAAAATAACTTAAGGAATCAAAACTCCCACCAAATCCACAGTTGCATCACTCCAAACCAAAACGTAGAGATCTTTCAATGCACAAACAAGTAGTGGGCATGTGCTTGCACATGCACACAAAAATATTCTGATCTAGCATTTGGACATGCGCTTTTCAGACATACCCTTTTCTGCTATAAAATGATGTAGCTTCACTGACTTCAATGAATCTGCAAAACGGTGCTGCCTGCAATTTACTGAGCAACATTTTATATATTTAAAAGAGAGACAGAGAGAGAGGATTTATTCATACTCTGTTGTTTGAGTTAAGTGTATTTCAAGTCTACAAGGAATGCAGTTGATTTGATCACATTTCTTATAGGAATCAATTTTATTATAGCAGGATGAAATTACAATCGCTCAAATTGTGCATGCTATCATGCCATGCATGTCGAGATAATTTGTTTTGACTTAGTTTAAAATAATCATTTTTAGATAATAACACATTTTCCTAACAGTCAATTTTCAATATAACATCCTATTGCTTAAGAAGTGAATTTTTCAGACCCACCATAGCTCTATATCACATCCTTTCTGCACAAGAATGAATAGAGGAAATGTGCATACCTGAAGAGCCCAAATGAAATAGCTTATGTTCTTATATAAACAGGTAGGTCTTTGTTCTGATCAAGGTAAGAGCCAATTCTGGGGCCGATTCTCAGCCGGTGTTGTTAGATTCTGCTTCACTGAAATCAATTTACACCAACTGGGGGGATCTAACCCCTTCACCTGCCACTGCAACTGCTTCTTAATAAGAAATAAACAGGCCAAACAGGCTCCGTTTCATTGCT